TATCACAGCAGGCACCTCTTTGAAGCACGGTGGATCACAACCAGCTATCCTGTCGGCTTCGAGAAGATTGAAGTCATTGGCAATCATTTAAAAATTCACACTATGTGAGGGAGCATGTGCAAATGATTTTGCCGGAAGTGCATCCATTCCCGCCGTCGAAAGCGGTGTTCGACGTATACGACTCACAGGCATATCTTATTTGTCACCTTGTAGAGTGGCTTATAGGGGGGTCACGCACTACATTTAACATGTTGTCTTCAGCCTAATTGCCGTAACACGGCTACATATGTATAAATGAATCAGCCGCCATCACGCCTATGATGTTGCTTGACACGATAGAGAGTGTGTGCTTCTATGAATAGGTATGCACCCACGACACTACGCCGTGATTCAGCCATAAGTAGCATTGTCGGTTTGGCGATCGACCGTCGCGCTATGAGTGGGCATTTTGTCATTCAGGGGACGCGCTTTGATGAGTGACGATATGAATAGGTTTCTGCGGCACATACCATTTTTACAGGTCTGAATAAGTTGCTGAGTAAAGTACGTGTACCTTTATGGCGGATAATCTCAGTCCCCACCAGTTGTCACCAGGACATATAAGCGCTGCACGTTTGGAAAGTGGGACATCCCAGCAGGATGACTGTGCAAAAATTCACAAGTTGGACAAGTGGAAGTACTGCCTTCACGTTAGCAAACAAACCAAGGTTTGTCTGGACAATACCCGCATTACCTGGAGAGAAACAGAACTTGAAGCTCATACTTCCGTTGTAACAACTTGCACTTTTTGCTTGTGATAATAAGGAAAAGTTAAGGAGGGAGTGTTTACACTAGTTGTTTACCTACCGTACTTCATTGGTGATTCAAAAACCGTGTAATTCAAGTATGTTCATACTACTCCACATTAAAGGTCCACAATCTTGATGAATGTTGCGACTGAGGGCCAAATATCTTCATTCCTCCAACTCCAGCCTCCAGAAGCAATAGGTTTGTTCGAATGCATCATGTGGACTTCCAAGATATCTTGTCTGCCGCTTTGACTAATCGTGACAGCCTTGTGGTCGGTAAGTGTTGAACTTTCCTGCCCATTTTCATGATGACTAAACCCTAGATTTTGATAATTATGAAGTTGTAGTCCAATGAGCATTCTTTGTTTCTGTTTGTTGTAGTTAGATGAACTACCCTCCATGGGAGGTGGTTTCAGTCAAGATCCGCCCCTTAAGTACTTAATCTTCGGTGACGACCAAGCCAACGTCAAGAGCCGAATCGAGAGAAAATATGAACGAAGCAGCAGGCCCAGAAGGAAGTAAAGATTCCAACCAGGAATGTGCCTCCCATGTTCGTGTTTCTCCTTGCTTAACTTTCTTTGCTATGGCGCTCATTATGCGTGGTTTTTCTGTTCAATACTTAAGGACATAAATTTCATGCTATCGTGTAGTGCAGAACCATTTTCGCTCACCATGTCTGGAAGGGCAGAATTTGCCGTTTATCAGGGTGATAACTCATGGAAGTCTCTCCAACGCCACGTGTGAAAGGCCAGTGCATATGTGGTGGATGTCTCATTGTGCGTTAAGAGGGCCTGGCGTACGAAATGTCATAGAGGATAGTGTTGGTGTACTCAGTAGACCGGGTAAGTCGCCAGGTGGTATGAAGTTGGATAGCAACGGACTAAATCCAGTAGTTGATTTGGAGGCCTTCACTTTGGCAGGGAGTCTAGTCCGCAAGTGTGGTAGCGTGATATCAACCTATACAATGTGAGTCATGACCGTGCACAGTGGTAAAAAGGTTTTATTCTGAGGCAGTGGTCTATGTGGCCTGATAATGCGCATTTGTATTCCAGCCTTTGTGACGACGGAGTATTCTTCACCACCCTTGGACGAAATACGCTTGAAACTGTTTCACCCAAAGTTCCTACTGAGTTTTGATCCTTGAGTTTCGTCTGAAGGCATTCTGACCCTAGGTTTCTCCCTGGAGCGGTTATTCACCACACCCGACTAAGATGGTCTGCTCTGGGTGTGGGATTCTCGGGCTGTGCCAAGGTTAACGGAGCAATCGCGTTAAGGTCTGCAAGCAGATGTTTATTGGGTGAGACTTACTAATTACCGCACATTCAGGCGTCCCTAAACTGTAAAGGAATGAACGAAGCCGTCCTTGAAGTGCCTCCTAGGTTGACGCGGTGCTCTATCATGCATAGCAGAAATTTCTTTGAAAACGTAGATAGCTCTAACCCTGTCCTGCAGCTTAATAAACGTTTTTGGGTCAAACGGCGTTACAGACTTAAGACCAGTGGGGCAACTGCCTTGCGAAAAATTCTTACGTGAACGTTTTCAAGGGCAGGGACAGTTAGACATGGCTCAGGCTCATAGGATCTTGCTCCCAGAAGCTTCCCAGTGTATGCTGTCGGGCGAATCGTGCATTATGGCTTACTGAGATGACACTAAAGGCTTTACTCCCTTAGTTGCAGCGAAGTCTCAGAAAATCTCTGGCGTTCTGCGAGTGCCGGTTTGATAGGGTATTCGTCTGGCTAAACAAACGAGGAACTGAAGAGAACTTCTCAAGCGTCCTTTGAATACCACCCAAAATGACCATAATATCGCCGGTGTCGTTTCTGCTTTCGTTGGGTCTTGGGCCCATTTTGGAGACAAAGTACGAGGCCCTGACTATCGGTGTGAGAAAAGCGATCTCTCCAACATCCAAACTACACTGTTCGGCATCTGTCTCGTTACATTTGGGGACGGGTCCCGAGGCACTGGTTCCCGAATTTTTACTATAGTGGTCTACTTTCGATCGCTTATCTTCGTTTCTTTTCACAGTTGAGAGGCGGATTCAGTTAACGCCGTGCTGCATCAATAAGAGGTTACTTTACCTGGAAAGCTAAGTAAATTCTTTGACCAAGCATAACATAAGTACGTATTATAGCTTTTAAAATAGTGATGGATATCACACAGATAAACCGACAGGGAAAATGACAGAAACGGCGTTAAAATGTACGTCGAACGTACCACTTTTGTGTTGTCCTGACCAGCCAGAGGATCAAGGGTTACTTGAGACGCGGATGGTCAGGAGATGAGCCGGCCTTGGAAGACTGTGGGTCTCTCCTGCTGTCATGTCGGCAACTTTCAGACTATCTAGTGAACATCTTTACTGCTCATTTCGTGAACGGCTTCGGCAGCTTCGTCAACTCTCACACATTCCGGACCCCATGTAAAGTAACTGATGAGCACGGGTCTTTGGTGTGAATTTTCTATTCCACGACAGTTCCCACCCTGAATTGGCTCTTTCAGACCTAAGTCTGACGTCTGGCAGTTCGACCATAACCAACTGATGAGCATTCGGCGTAACGTGCTTCAGTTGGCCGGGCTACCCTGGCAGGTTCTTGAATGTTTTGGGGATCTTTCCGGGTAGAACCTGCTGGAGCCTGAGCCTCTCGCTATTGGGTTGCCGGTTAAAGCTGCTCAAGTCCTACATGAAATTTTCCGCTGATGGAGGCCATGTTCATTTCGGTCAGCTAGAAATTATGAGCTACTTTCCTGGGCCTTAAATGGCAGGAGCGGTTCAGATCAAGGTTGTGCTGCATCTTTTAGAAAGTGGTCCCTCCAAAGACTTCAGACCTAGCTCTCGATCAGGCCATTTTGGGTCGACCCGTAGGACCTGAGATTGATTAGTTCTGGCAACGAACTGAAGATGGAGGGGGCTCTACCACATACATGAGGTCCAGAGATCGAAATCCTTAACTTCCAATCCATCCCTAGCCGACCATCAGATGAATTAGTTATTCTAAGAATTAATTTTATGTTGGGTTGACTAAACGGTGCAGCTATTATGACGGGGGTTTTTCCGCTTCCTAGAGTAGCACTACTTATCGGTGTTTTCTGCTCACATTTATTCTCTTCATTTCTCTTACGGCACTTGCTAAATCCGAATTCCACAACCTTCACTGAAAGGATTGAACCCAAAGCTGTGCCATGAGGGAAGCAGCCTGTAACAGTGATAAGTAGGTGTTTTATTCGCGCCTCCTCTTACATCAGGGCACATGGAGTCAAAAAAGATGCAGTGGTAGTTGTAACGATTGTTGTTGCTTTCTTTAGGGGCCGCTTTTAAACAACGTGACATTTTTTGCATGAAGTCAGTTTGCGTACGGGCTTTAGTAGTAGTATGATCACACATCTAATTGGTTCGGTGCCTACTTAGTAGTTGCTTTTGGCGCTATGGCAAGGATAAAATGCCATTTGCCAACAAATAGGCTATTCAGAGGTACATCGACATAATGTGGACCGTAGGAACAATGAGTAGACCATGAAGCGTCACACGCTTCTCCGAAATCAATAGCCTAGGGTATGACGAGATTCAGCATTGATGCTGACCTCCATAGTTTTACCAGACTTGCTAGGATGAAGGCATCCGGTCAAGCATCCATGCCATTTGGCACGCTGTAAAGTTACTTTGCGCTGCTCGCAATCGACTCTCTGACCAGCCAGTTGGAACGCATCGGTATCTTGGCACAACCACCCAAATATACTATTCCATCCAACTATGCTGCTGTGCTCTTTCTTGGCCTCCTATTTTTGGGTATGTGACGAGTGGGAATGATTAATGATTGGCCTCTGCGTCTGCTAAGTTCGCTCCGGGCCAATTCCTAAACTCACAACAAATGGAGGGAGGAGAGCTGCTCTCATTCAGGCTGCATACGCAAATGTCTTTCGCATAACGTCACTGGGCGGAACCAGGCGGACATAAACTCTGGTCAGGCAGATACAGAACGTAGACACAGAAATTATTTTGAGCTTATCAAGCCTGTTAAGAAAGTGGCTGTCCTTTTTCAAAGAACACTTTGTAGTACTGCATCGTCATCATTCAAGAAGGGACTGAGCAAGGACATGATTCTATCAAAAGAGAGTTATTACGTGCCCATTTCTTCCATCATTAAAATATGAATCTAAGTTTCATTGTTGAAATTAATCTATGGTTAGGTTTCTATATCACTAGTTTGACCCGCGTTTATGAATTTACTTCGCTACCAAATCGTTGTCTTAGCACAGTTTGTACTGATATTGTACGACTTATTTGCAAATTCATTCTCTGAGCTGTTCAGTAATGTGAATGTAAACCTGTCAGTCATATACGTGTAAGAATACCTTTATGAAAGAACTGAAATTCTCATTTAGAGTACAAGATCTGTGTATACTACTATGCATTTTGATTTTCTGCCTGCTCCTATCTAGTACATTTGTTTTCAAGCAGGTTTCATCAACACACTCTTATCACAGTTCAAAGACGTCATATTAGTAACTATTTGTTACCTTGTTTTATGCATTTCACTACATTGCTGGGGAGCGGTATGTTGCATGATATTAAAATCTTATTTTACAGATATCAAGATGGAATAGTTCACTAGATATGCCATCATCTGCTGGATATCAGGTCTTACTTGCTTTTCAGAGAACATGTAGGTGTGAATATGCATCTTTTATTTCATGCATAGGAAAATACATTGCAAACAAACATTTTACCTAAATTTTCAAAATTTCCCAGGTTTATCAAATAGTTTATTCTAAATTGCCTGAATCTTGCACTGACCTTCGCCCAAGTATTTCGAAATTGAAGAATTAAGTGCTGACCTCTTACCCATGGTTTTACCACACTATAGTGTGTTCAAACCTAATTTGGATCTCGATCTATAGATTTAGATTCAAATTTGTTGTTGAAAGATATAAGGCTGTTAGCCTATATTAGTCCCCTTTCATAAGACCTCTATGTCTTTCTAGTTTCCTTTTGAGCGAGTGCTTTGAAAACAGGAAGTGAATTTCTCCACGCTTTTGACATTTTTGCTTTTGTTGTGTAATCCACATCAAGAGCTGTCATGTAAGCCTTGACTTGAAGTACTTAAGTCGGTGTTTGAAGTTTAATCATTTTTTGAGGCTTAAGATTGGTCTTTGTGTTGTCACAACTGAAGTCCCCTTGTCGGAATTTTGACCGAGTACTTTAGTTAGTACACGACACGAGTGAATAACATGGTCAGCGATAAGCATGATTGCGGTCGTCCCAGCTCTAAATTTCCAGTGGATGAAGGTATGCAGTGTGGTGCATGTGGATGCTGGTTCCACAGAGTTTGTACAGGATTGACATCAACCGTGTACAAGCGTTGCAGTAAACCAGTTTCTCCCTGGTTGTGTGATTTCTGCTGCAAGCCATTGCCAACTCTCATTCAGGCAGCTGTTGAAAATTTACTTGTGAAAAAACAGCTATGTGAAAACGGTAGCTGTCATTCTAATGCGGTATCAGATGATGACGCTGCAAGTGTAATCGTTAACATATCTGACACAGGACCTCTCAGTGGACTAATGGATGCTGGTGATCCAGTTGGTGAAATTACACCAGTCCCAAAGCGTACTCGAAGCAAGAGAAAGCCAAGGGCAAATAGTACACCAACCGTAATGCCTGAGGATTCACCGAAAGCCTGCATCTCTGGTAACAGCGTTGACTCTGTAAAAGCGGTCAACGAATCTACATGGTTTTTCCAAGAAAGCATTCGAAGAGACTGCCACGGAAGATACTAAGCTTATGAAACCTGTTGAGAAGGTTTCAAAGGCCATCAACACACGACTCAAGGATTCCACTCCAGCGCCCAGTTTAATCTTCTAGAATGTCGAGGAGTCATCAGACAAAGATGCCTCAATACGTCACAGCCATGACCCGAAACTAGTCGAGTCGGCCATCAAACGTATTCTGCCTGAAAAGTCTAAAGGGGTGCACATCTCCAAATTAGTTAGGTTAGGTAAGAAAACGGACGGAAAACCTGATGAAAAGAGAATTTTAAAGGTTGTTTTAGGCAACAAGGATGAAGTGGATGTACTCTTGAGTAACGCATCCAAACTACGAAATTCGGATATCCGCATCCGACCTGACTGGCCCCTCCAGGACCGCATAAAAAGAAGAGAAGCTGTTGCCGAACTTAAGGCTCGACAGGCTAATGGTGAAAATGATCTTAAAATAGTGGGTTTTCGGGTTGTGAGGTCTTGGAAGCGAATGCTTTCAAGGCCTATAGCGGTGGGTCATGGAACTCTTCCAACACAATGAAAGTTATCTACACTAACGTTCGCAGTATTAGAAGCAAAATGACAGACCTTGAGATCGAATCTGCGAACTAGGTCCTGATGTAGTAGCCCTTACTGAAACCTGGTTGATCAAGGATCTAGATTTTACGCCACCCCTCGCAGGGTATTACTGTGTAAGGACGGATAGGGTTGCGGGTCGCAAAGGTGGCGGCATACTACTTTATGTTAGGGATGACGTCCACGTACGATTAGTCACTTCTGAAGCACATGAATACGGGACCTGTGAAGTGGCCAGTTGCGAGCTGAAGTCAAAGCATGGTTTCTGTACTATCGGGGTCATTTACCGTAGTCCATCCTGCCTTGCAAATGACTTCGTGCTAACCCATATACGTAACTGGAGTGGATGTAACAGATTCCTAATAGTTGGGGATCTGAATGCTCCACACATAAACTGGACGGAGCTAAAAGTCTCACCACCAGGTGGTTCCTTCGAAAATGACTTACTTTTGACGGTCTTAGAATCTGCTTTAGTTCAAAACGTAACATGTGCAACACGTTACGATTTTGAACACAAGCCATCGTTATTAGATTTAGTTTTAACCCATCAATGTGAAGACATTCTGGATCTACGATACTTCCCTCCATTAGCTAACAGCGACCATGTAGTACTAACTTTTGGTTTTCGGACTAATGAGTTTGATTATGACACTGCCTCCCCTAGACCTAATGTATGGTGTGCGGACATTTTATGTATAAGGGGTTGCGCAATCAGTAAGGATTGGACTGTCGACAAGGACTCATCAATTGAGAATGCATGGAATAGGTTTAGAACTCTATTTGAAAAGGTAACGACGCCATTTATTCCATGTTCGACTCCACGACGATCCTCATATCGACCTCCGTGGTTTAATAAAGACATTGAGAGAATGTTAAGGCGGAGGAAACGTTTATGGGACCTTTTTTAGAAACGACTGGAAACATTTAAGACTGAGTACTGTAAATTCCGTAATCTCTGCAAGACTTTGATTACATGGTCTCGAATGTCCTACAAGAAGCAGCTTGTGAGGGATTGCCAAAATTGTCCTAAAAGACTGTTCGCATTCGTCAGAAGGAGGACTAAAAGAAAAGTGGAATTCCCTCTCCTTCGACGGATGAGAAGTCCGATAGTCTGGCGGAATCTAATCCGTCCGAAACTGAATGTCTCTTTGATTACTTTAGTGAACTCTTCTCTGTAGGTCATGACGATGAAATGCTTAGTAGTATTGTCGGCACTGTTCCACTAATAGATACTGTGTTCAAAACAAAGGAAAGAGTCTTACAGTTGCCCATTAACCTTAAACCTGGAAAATCCCCAGGTCCCGATGAGTTGCATCCCAGACTTCTATCCTCGCTAGCAGACATCATTGCTGAACCCGTCACGGATCTTTTCGACATGTCCCTAACTCAGACTCGCCTTCCTGGAGACTGGAAAGATGCCATAATCAGCCCAGTCTTTAAGACCGGTAGTCGTCATTTGGTGTCTAACTGTCGCCATTTTGTGTCTAACTATCGCCCTGTGAGTCTAACTAGCATAGTTGTTAAGATTTTAGGAAAAATAATTCGTGACAGGATACTTAAACATGTGGAATCAAGCAATCTTTTGGCACCACAGCAACATGGTTTTCGTACTGGGCACTCCTGTCTAACTAACCTTATCGCAAGAGAGGAATGGGTTGCAGCCCGTGATTGCAAGCTGCCAATAGATGCCGTGTTTATAGACTTCAGTAAGGCATTCGACAAAGTGTCTCATATGAAATTACTAGGAAAGCTCTCCTCCTTCGGGTTTGTTATTTAACTGCAAGCTTGGATTAAGGACTGTTTATACGATAGAAGGCAAAGAGTAAGGGTAAATGGGACACTATCCGGGTGGAAACCTGTGATGAGTGGAGTTCCTCGAGGAACAATCCTAGGTCCACTACTTTTCTTGTCATATATCAACGAATTGCCAAATATGCCCAACTCTTCGGTACTGTTATTTGCTGATGATGTAAAGATTTGGAGAGCCATACGCAGTGATGCAGATAGGTATGCACTTCAGGCGGATTTAGATGAACTAGTAGGTTGGTCCAAATGTTGGTGCTTGGAAATCAATTCTAACAAAAGTGCAATGATGCACATTGGTCATAGCAATTGTTTCCAGTATTCCGTTGATGGTGCACCACTACTTCCAGTCCTTGAAATAAAAGACTTGGGTGTCATCATTTGTCATGATTTGAAAACCTCGGCAAGCTGTAATGCAGCTGCAGCAAAGGGTTTTCGTATATTATGGTCCCTCCGCAGAGCTTTCAAATTTTTTGATGAGGACATATTTAGAATACTCTACTCTACCTAAGTCAGACCTCACTTGGAATACTGCATTCAGGCGGCCATCCTATACCTAAAAAAGGATGCTGACACACTCAAGCGTGTTCAAAGGGTAGGCACTAAGCTTGTGGCAAGCCTTTCGAATCTGTCCTATGAAGAGTGACTAGATCAGCTAGATTTATTCCCACTATCTTACCGTAGAAGACGGGGTGATCTCATACTGGCATTTTGTATCCCTAATAATGACTTCGGTACTGATATGTCCTATCTTCTCCCCTTTCTTGGACTGACTATCTCCGAAGACATCACAAAAAAATTATAAAACCTCGATCGAATCAACTTAGAGTGAATCTGCGTTCCTCCCATCGTGTTGTCAACGTCTGGAACTCCTGACCTCAGTAAGTAGTATCAGCACCTTCCGTTAACTCGTTCAAGGAGAAACTAGATCTTCACAGAGATATCTTCTGCAAGGATTAACACACGCCAACAGGCGTACTGTCCTTATAACTGAAACTGAATTAACGGTGCGGTCAACACTTCTTCTGGAAGTTGGTTCCAACATTTGATTGCTCGATGCTGAGACTACTTTTGTTCCTTTCTTTTTTATCCTCCTACTATGTCCTCTGAGGTGTACTGACGTAGTGGCAAGAAAAAGAGGATATAAATCAGGTGCAGAGTCATTTATTGGAATGATCAGTTCTCCCCTGTGATGGGATAAAGAGCAGGCTCTGCGTAATGCCCAAAATGTCGTAAAACTCTGAGCTTCGAGCAGCCGACAATGTGCCACGGTTTTCAAATCATAACTCATTGTGGGTCAGTAGTGAGGCTAGAGGTACCCGACCAATATCGTAGGTATTGCTATGTGTGTGCTGCATGTGCATGCTCACATATTTACCTGCATTGATAGGCATCAGCCACTTCTCTGACCAGGTAAATAAGCTGTTTAGGTCCATCTGGAGGGCAGGTGTATCCTCATTTCACGCCAGATTTTTATATCATAAGCGTAGAGAACTATATGGGACTTCTTGATATTTGGCAGCTCACTTAT